GAACGATTTGAAATTTGTTAATTTTGTCGAAAAATTTCACATCTTCCTGAATTTTTTTCTCGAAAGTACGAAGGATTTCGGAGGTATGTGTATTCGCCAAAAATGATTGTATTTGACCCTCGCAGCGGAAAATAATTTTTTCGGAACGATTTGAATGATTTGAAATTTTTGAATTTAATTTTTTAATAACTTTTTAACGAAGCCTCAATCAACAAATTGATATTCTTGATTTTCGTCTTATTTTGGCCTCTAGAATCTTTCGTTAAAATTTTTCCCAGGGTTGGTCGAACATCCTGTATATGTAACGCGATTGGTAATTCTACATACTGGAATAATAAAATGATTTTAACATTATCGAAGTAATCCGAAAAATAAGAAAACGTTAATTCAAATCATGATTAAAGTACATACAAAATTTGAGTGTACTCGTTTACAGACGTTCCTATTTTTTAGTATTTACAGTGTTGTTACCCCTTAAACAAACTGATATTCGAAATATGCCGAGCTTCCTCTACGAACAAAACTTGCCCTCGTCTAGAAACATAGAGCGCAAGGACGAGTCCCGTCTTATTTCGTTCGGGAATCCTTAAAATATCGTATAAGCTTTTTAATCTAAATGGAAATACGCAGCGTGGAAGTTAAATGCCTTCGGGGTCGATTCATTTGTCTCTAGCACGTGCAAAAGACCAGCGAAGAGACGCGCAAAATGCGAGAGTACGAGGGTTTGAGTAAAGAGACTGGACGAAGAAGTGGTGGAAGAAGAAGACGAAAGGGAGGAGAAGATGGAGGAAGAAGACCAGGAGAAAGAAGGAGAAAACGAAGGTAGATGAGACAAGAGGCATTCTGGTTTGTGGGCACAGCCGCTGCCTGCAACCCACAATTATGATAATAGCCCCTGAGTCCTGAGTCTTGTTAGTCCAACGTGCAGCCAGCTCCTTTTATCTATATCTTTTTATTTTCATACTCGCCTTTTATATACTTCGTCTACTGCAATTTCTACTTTCATCCCTTTTCACCATCGTGAGATCGGCTGAACTCGAATCGATCGAACTTTAAACTACTCTTACGGCGCGTAAATCGTGAAACTTTCAAGGATTAAGAGCAACCCCCTCGAAGAAATTCGTACACACATGTTTTGCGATCTATCGCCTATCGTGCGTATAATAATGAAATTATTTACGAACTGCAATGGAACTATGAATTTATATCTCACGACGAACGTTTGCTATTCCAACGAGCTAAAAAAGAGAGGAACGCGGCACGATAGAAGCCACGTCGCTGTAATCTTTAAAAAAAAGATGCATTAAATCAAGTCGCGTGTTTAAAATTAATTAACTCAACTAAACCCTTCCACTTGAAGCGTTTCGCGCGAGACGCAGATTTCGCCTCGTCTATCTTACGATCCAACTAAATCGTAGCTTTGAACAAATGCCTCTGCCATTTGAAACCACTCAATTAAAGCCATTAACAGTGGAAAAGAAACCCTCAAAGGAATTAAAGGCCCGCGAATATCAAAAAGTCAAGCAACGGTGCGCGGGTCGTAGGAGGGAAGAAGTAGCGCACAAAACGCGAATGAAACGTACAAACGTTTCTGTCTCATTAATTGTAATTAAACCTAACGTTACTATCCGAAGTCGGACGGTGCCGTTTTTGCATTCGGACGGATTCAATGCTCGTGCGAGTGGATGGAACGAGTAAGAATAGAGACGGCGTAATCGGCATCGGCCGCGGAGCGCAAGGAAAACCGTGCGTACGGTTCCCGTTTATAAATGTTGTAAAAGGCGGTGGCAAACGGAGCACGGTTTAATTCACTTGCAGCGCGACGTCGGTTCTTTTGACAGCGGGGAAAAGCGTTAATTGGAGGCCGCGCCACGATCGAGCAAAGAAAGCATTTCAAAGGCGAAAACCTCGTGTGACAGTGCCCGCAGAGTTTTTCTCCTTTCACGGGACAAGGAGCAAACGTTTTCTCCTTTCCGTACACCCGGTACGTGCGCGCATTTTTCGAGGTTTCGCCGATCGCGCGTCAAAGCTTTCGTGGCCGGAACGACGTTCTATTGAAGAAGTCGCGTTGTTATACAGGGTGTATCCTAGCACGTGGAACCCACTGTAACGGTCGACTGAAGATGCAGAAACAACGATGAAAGTTCGTACAAATGCGTGCTCTATTTGGCCCTGTTCGCGAGCAAGTGTGAAAAATGTATGCTGGACGTACATACATGTTATTAAATTTGTGAAATACAGTGTACGTACGTATGCATTTCCATAAACGCTAGCTTTCAGAAACATGTCAATTCGACGGATTTCAGACAACTTTTTGTGAAAGCGAACACGAATCTACATTTATTTTAAGTTTTTTTGATTGTTTTTAATCTCACGCGTTAAAGTACACCCTGTATTCCTGTAATGATCTATTATTACGCGATTATCGAACAGACTAGATTTCAGGGAAAGGTGTAATCGACACACGTGGGAAGTTAATGGTATATGATGGAGCTAAATGTCAACGGAGAGTTGTCTACCGAAATAGCATATTGCGAATATCAAGAGTACGGAGCAAAGATAGGCAAAATTTTGTTCAAATAATAAAATAGAACTAACAACTCTTTAGAAACGTATAAACGTATATTTTTATTAAAACAAACCTTTTTTGTTTTTTTTTTAACTTAGAGGAAATCTTTTGAATATACTTCCGGTTCCTGTAAATTGTTCGGTAGCCGCTGCTAGGATAAATGCGGATAAAACAAGAATCTGGACGACACCGTCGTGATATACGACTGTTTGTCCAGATTAGACCCGACAAAGGAAACTGTTCTCTCTTCTTGACTCTGTCTTGATTTAAGCGAAGCGCCCCGTATTTGCTCTAGATTAAATGGGAGCTTCCAGGCACAAGCTATGGCGGTCCTTTCTACCATATCTACCACACTACGGTGGTATATACGCTTTGCGTTGTGCATTGCATTCATGACGCGTTCAGCGACCAAGAATATCCACAGAAAAATCTTTACGATTTTAAAATTCGCATTCGATCCTAACCGATCAAATATATAATAAGCGAATAAGTTACTGATAATCCTTTTAAGGGATAGTACTAGTCAAATTAAAACGGACGAAAAAACCATCGTTAAAACAGTTGTCGTTTTCAAGGTACAGTAAGCTCGACACAATTCAAAGAGTTTATCGAACCATTTCTCAAAAATGTATCCCCTTCGAGCTCGACAAGCGATAAGTTGGTAACAGTTACGAGATATTCATCGATAAATACCTGTACATCGTGTTCCAGTATCGAAGTTCTGTACGCGGGATCCCTCGAGCGATATCGATAAAATATAAAATAGTAATGAAGCTAACCATATAATCGTCGAGATTAAGTTGATGGGCGCATGACGAGCACCTGAACAGACCAAGAGAGTAGAGGGAACGGTAGGGTGAAATGATCGAACGAATTCGCTCTTCTTGGAGGCAGCTACCAACCGGCAATAGTGAGAGATTGGGCTCGTAGATGAACGTGTCCGAGCAATCCTTCTCGCAATTCACCTTGTACAACAGAGTAATCACCCTCGATGTTTTTCTCCTCGTCCTGAGTTACCTCGAATTTTTTTTGTTGCTGCTCGTGAGGTTTTCAATCAACCGCGAATTTGCAAAACGAGTCCTGCCCCCCTCTCCTTCTTCGCTCATCCTTTCTCTGTCCCTTCGGAATATCCGTTGTCCCTTTTCAATCCTTGGACCGTAATAACGACGTTTGGTAATCAACCGGGTTCTGATAGACCAGAGAAACGATGAAAAAAGAGAGACGCGATTCGTAAAGGCTACGTGGGCGTTCTCGTCCATAATAGATCTTGAATTATGTAAAGAACGAGGGGGAAATTATAGTAAACTGTACGGCCGATTAAATACGAGGATGCTCCGCGATGCAGTTTCGATTTTCTTTAGAGTATCGTTTATTTGCTAGGAAAGTGAAGCCACTAAAAATTACTGATCCTTTTATCTTTCTTCCCCGGCGTCCATTCGAAATCTCTTTTCTGCATACTACGTTCCCTTTATACGTCTTACGGCACGTTAAGTAAAAGGAATGCACCTCCCAAGTTGTAGCCTGTGGGTAAAAAAATAATAATAAATAAAAAGTACTTATCTCGTAAGAAGATATTCTAACCTCAAACCCGGTTCGGTTCTCAGTATCGTACCCGCGTAACCGGGTTAACCAATGCACGATGACCTGATTAACCCGCTTAATCCACTCTTTACGGAAAGTTACGCTACTACGATTAATCCGCTCTTAAAAGTACAATTTGCAATGACCTCGTCTATGCGTATACTTACTTCTGTCTTTTGAGTTAGGCAACCAGTTCTGAACAGGTTAACCTGTTCTTTGTATGACTTGGGAGCCGTTCTCTCTTGGGTTACTATAGGTTACTGTAACCAGCTTTGGTTAACCGGGTTACGGTTGAGGTTATACGGCGGTTAGAATCTCCGCTCGTAAGCGAAATTAGTTGAATCGAGAGTGGGCCTGCTGGAACGAAATATCAAAACTGAGCTGGCCGCGAAGGGTTAAAAAACAAATAAGTTCGTAACGGTCGCGCGTGTACGACGAGAAAATGCAACAAGTACCATCCGAGTAAACGAAACAAAAGCGCGGGCTGCATCTAATTCCCGGGCAACGGTTTTGCTGCTCCGATTTTGTCAGACAGACAGCGCGTAACGTTTACCTGGGCCTGCTTCGCGACACCAGCAGGGAGTAGTTTGGTATCTCCGAAAATGCCGCTTGATTGTGCCCCCTCGTAAATCTCAACGGCATGTTTGCGAATCGCAATTTTAATTATCCCCTCGGCTCGACGCTTCGAAACACCGAGGCCATCCGATCCGTGCGACGCCTGCAACGAGCGGACTCTCGTGGGTGGACCTCGGCCACGTTCGGCCGAACTCGGTTAGTTTCGGCGCGGCGAGTCTGCGTCGACCTCAGTCGACCCATGGCGGTCGGAGCACACAACTGGTTGTGGCTTTCGCGAAGCAGGTATGTTGCGCGCTCCTTAGTGCGTGCATTCTTGCCACTTCGCGTCATCTGTTTTCCGTTCAACGTTTTCGTCGTTCGCTTCACGCGCTGTCTATCGAGCAAACGACCGCTGTCGTACCGTCTCGTTAACGCGTTCCAATCGCAATAATCCGGGCAGAGTGCCGTTACACGATTGAACGCGATTTTTCATGCGACGAACTGTCAAAAGATCCGATCGGTTGGAAGAGGCTGAGCAGTATCCGTCGGGGCTTATTTTCATTCGACTGTGAATACGGTAACGGAGTAACACGCTGTCACGTGTGACTACGCCCGTGAAATTGTTGGCAATTTGCGATAACCCGCGGACCATGAATCGAGTTAGAAGACTTTAACGTTGTCCGTAGCGTAACGTAACGCGTGTTTACGGGTGCTCGTACGTACAACCGGTTAAGCACGTGGTGGACACGATGCTCTTGAAATTGGCAGTGTTGCTGTCCGTCCTCGTGCGGCCAGGTGCAAGTTACTTCAACCTCTTCCTCAGCCAAGCAGAAGTGCGGAAACTAATGGGTAAGCGAAAGTAGGCAATTCTTTCACGGTCGCTTTTACGCTTATACTAGATCGTTGTGCGTTTCTCGGCTGTCATGCTTTTTATCAGTTCGAACGTTTTAAGAGGGTAACCTTTTTTTCTTAACCGTGAATGATGTATCAAAGGTTACATTTGTTTGGTCGAGCAAACATAATTCCTATGGATGAGTCGACGATTGAGTTTGTAATATTATTTTTTATCTGGATTATATGAATTTTTCTTTCGTATACATTCGTTATAAAGTACATTTATTATTGTTGTTATTCATCAATAATCAGAATTTCACGACTCCGAAACAAACAGTTTGCGTAGGTCAAAACGAGCAAAGATTAAAGTAAAGCTCGCGCAATAATTATCTTGATTTATTACGTGTTATTTATACAGAGTATCTACTTGAAATTTATAACGTTTAAAATCCTGCTATCTGGTATCGATAAAACTGCAAAATCTAAAAAGATTATTGCTTCGCGTTTATCCTATACATTCTTGTACCTTTGACGATCAAACTTGTACAATTAATTCGAATATCTCCGATTCGATCAAAAACGATTTTTCAATTCGATCATCTCAACGAATGCATCTGTGTATATGACCTCGTTGAAAGCCTAACCATCGATCGGAAGTCCATTAGGGTAGTAGTGCTCAGCATTATAATTGAGCACCGAACAGTGAAGAATTGCTTGCGTCAAAGGCTCGTAGTGCCGAGGTTCGAGCTAGTTAACAAATAATTATTACTATACACCATTCATATGGCAAACCCATTACCTTTGCGAACTTGTTATGGATGATGATTCGAATACGTATTAACTCTAGGATGACTTATGTTGCCCCTACTGACTCCATGCAATTCTAAATTGTACATAGCGTTTGTACAATTAGGTATATTGTATTTTGCTATTTTGAATTATTGCCTTTCGTTGAAATTAATTATGACTATCTCACTAGCATGTTACATTATCTTTTTTTATTCGTAGTCGAATTTAAACCTAATAATTTGGGTTTTCTATGTATTTCAGATAACTTACGTCTGCGAGTACTGTTACCTTATTCGTTATATTTGCGCACTACTTGTTCGCCATGAGCTAGTTTTGGATCAAGGTTCGAAAGTGTACCGATGAGTAGGTACTTCGATGTTAGAAAGAATAGAGTTGCAACTAGCACTCGAACGTCTCCCACGTTATTTAAAAAGCTACTTTTCTAGCTACTTAAGCTTCAATAAAGAGCCTTGCAGACCACGTTCTTCAATCCCGATTACAGTTTATAATCCAAGGGATTCAAATCTAGGCTACCAGATGGCCTCTCCTTAGCTGAAATGAACTCTGGCGCATTGTTCCGTAGCCACTCGAGTATCTTTTACCTTGTAAGCTAAATCGAAGACTCGTTGGAAAATCCGCCTTTGTCTTCGAAGGAAAGTCGTACTCAGGAGTTTCGATACCTCGATGAGTTCGGCCATGTAAATTAGCTTTTGTCTTTGACCTCGTTCACCTGGATACCTGCTCCTCCAAACAGAGGTGACAATTAACAATTCTAAAAGTACGACCATCCTTATTTTAATAATATCTAAACCAGAGCATTTGTCTCTCGTACTTTGCAAACGCTGTTCGCGAACACAATTTGCCCGAGCCTGTCGAACAGCAATGGCGGACACCATTGTGCCGCAATTGTCCAATCAAAACGCGACCGATTGCGCACGTCGTCCGTAGCGAGGTTCAGCGACCCATTAAAACCACGGAAGGGTCTCTAACGTCGTTGATTTTAGACAACCCGACAAATCCGTGCGACGATACGCCCGGGGATAGACTTGTTCCGTTCGTTTTCCTTTCCTACCCCGCGGCGCGAGGCCGGGTTTTCATTTGTAGCCAGGCTGCTAAGCCAGGAATCGTCGTCGTGGCTGTTGCGGAGGACTCGGTGTACCGGAAACGGATAAAAGCCACTCGACGCCGCGAACTTTCCAATATTTCCGCCATAACTTCCACGGCGGTGGATAATTCGCTCTCGGCTCGTTGATCCGCGAAAACCGTTCGGCTGGTTGCCTTGCATCGCCGCGTGATGCAAAGGGGCTGAGAGCGAGAAAGAGAGACGTATGTTCCGACGACACCTGAACCACCGCGAATCGTCGATTCGCCCTTGCGGGGAACGCGCTCGCGCGTGGGATTGCGCGTTTTCAGGCGCGCACTTTGCGCCTTGTTCCACGGTCGACGACACGCATTTCATATGCATCTGTACGTGCACCCCTCCTCCTCCTCCTGCTTCTCTACCTCCTTCTCGCCACCCCCCTCAAACCCCACGGTTAACTTGATCATGGTCGCGTCAAGAGCTTCGCGCGAAATCGTATTGTATTTAGCGTCGGGGCCGAATAGAATAGAACGAGCGAAAAGAATCGTATTGCACGGCCAGCTATTTAGAGATGGCGTCATTAATTGCGCTGGAAACGAGCCGTTCTTAGAATCTACCGCCGATATTTGGTGCCGTGTTTCTCGAGGGGGTAGTTGTTCGTTGAAAGCGAGCATCGTCGAACGGTACAATCCCGTCTGAGGTTTTCACTCGGTTGTTTTACGTTGAGAATAATGTTGGTCGAAAGGAACGCCTCTTGCAAAATTTAGAAACCACCGTTACAGAAAGCAACGCCGAGATACAAGAGTAGTTCCCATGCAAATCACCGCGAGTGTGAAAACGTTACTGCATGGCGTGCTGTTTTCTGACCTGCTCTTATCCGTACGACTGTGTTTCGTCGCCATTTCGCGATAACGTAGTGCGTGACGGGGAAGAAACGTTGGACGTGGAAGAAGGTTCGTCGGATAACACGGGGCGTAGCAATATACGCCGGGATATAATAAAATGTTATAACGAGGTCCTTGTTAAGCGGATACGGCACGGGGTGCCGGGCCCCAAGACCAGGTTCTAGTTTGTTTAGACACCGAATAATCAATAGTCTTGGTTTTATTTTTCTACGAGACCCGGGCTCCGTCCCCGTTGTTCTTTTTCGTTACTTTCTCATTTTAGTCGGATGGCCACGCTACCGCTACAGACCTTCGTAGATAGAGCTCCTGATACCGATTTCGGAGGGTCTCTTGGGTCGCTCTCCATATGGACCCCACGGCTTTTTCGAGGCTGCACTCTCACACGCTTCCTGGAAGAACCAGCTCTCCAATTTCGTTATTTACTATAAGGTTTCCCGTCTTCGCTTACAGACCATTCCGTGTTAAATCGTGTAAGATTTGACACCGTGGTTATCGACTTTTTTTCAAACCCAGAGTATTCGGTAACCCAAGCTAGCGACGGCTTCGAGACCGTTCAAAACGATTTTGTAACTTCACCAATATATACCCACCCCTGCACCGAAGTGCACGCGAGTTTTAAAGAAAAAGAATTTATGTCTGAAGCTTTTTGTCACAGTTTTGTTCTCCACTTCGATTGAGTCTTTTATACTTATCTGAAACTATATGCTACTGCATCGGTATTGTGTAGCGTTCGCGTCGGATAAGATAACTTCGAATTCCATCGATGCCAAGGCGCATTCCTATTTCTCTAATTTCTCGCTCTTCGAATCGCCGAGCGAATCACGAGACTCCCGACTGGTTAGATACTTTGTAATTAAGAAAAATTCTATCCCCGGCGTGATTAATAATTTATCGCGTGTCGACGGTTGAAACGACGCTATCTTTATGCCAGGGTAACATTCCCTTTATTGAGCGTCGTTAATATTTACGTCGAATAATAACTTTTAACGACACTGGCTGCGATAAGTCCTGCGGTAACGAAACCTGCCTCGTATCTCTGTTTCGTGATTAATTTATTATGCTCCGTGGTTAATTGCAATAGTGCAACAGTATAAACGTGATTGCTCCCAATTAGGCGAGTACTAGAGTGTCCCTGAAGCCCTGAAATCTACGTTTGTACCACCCTGTGTTCTTCGAACAGACCGCGTCCCGAGTATTCCGTTCCTTATTATTTGATTCTTCCGTAAAGATGAAGATTAGCAAGAAGTTCGCTACGTATGCGTTTACGCGTAATTATAGCACAACGGCGGAAACGCGTAGTGCTACTAACAACAGAAATAAAGCACAATATATCGAGAAAATTACAATTAGGAGCATTAAAAATCTTCGACGTATTTATAGGATATAAAGGATGCGATATAGTCATTTTTCGAGACATTCCCGGAGTTAACTGAACCTGATCGACCCACATCTTATCCTTCTAATCCTTACTGCAGGATCCAAATATTCTTTTACTAATTTAGCTTTTCAAATCTAGTCATTCTAGCCATTCTAGTCCCTTTGTCGACAAATTCTGATTCATGCTACAGTACATCTCACACAATGCTCCCTTCTATTATTCTCGCTCCTACTCCAAAACTCTTAAGTACCTAAGCAACTCCAACCACAGAGACATTTGAACGCTAAGCCATTAGCTGGAAGCTTTGTTGGTTTGTTTCTGAATACCTTCAATTATTGTACATGCAACGCCATAGTTTAGGGTAAAATGTCTAAATTTCTCGTATCGCCGATTCGTCGGCCCAACGAATTCGCGTACGGGAATAGAAACGAGGCTCGTTGTAAAATTAATACGTCCAATCAGGAAAACGTCAAACCGCGATGATCCACACGAGCAACATCCGTCAGAAGTCCGCGTCAAAACACGAAAGTAATGTGCACTCGGACAATCTCCCGCCGGAGGCGGTGTGTTGCTCGTGTGAGTTCGGGCTCGGGGTCCGACCTTAGCTAGTTAGGGCCTGACAGGCCCATCTTGATGTTACCAGGAGGAGTGGGGCGGCCTCAAAGGTCCCGCCGGGGCTCCGTGAAAACGTTTATGCACGCACAGTGGCGTAGCGAACGACGGACTAGCGAAACATTAGGCCTCCGCCGTCCGTTTGCCGCGAAACGTACGAATCGCGAGAGGACGGTAAATCGGTCTATAATTCAGCCAGCGACGCGGTGCATTAAATTCCCAGGAAACTCCGGGATAATCACGGTGTTCC